AAATCTGGCGGACGATTATTTTTTATAATTATGATTATTCGTAATTATAAAATTATGAGATCGGCAACTCAAACGTTGCAAACGGTATCTCTGTATAGAATGAGCATCGCAAATCTCCGGGTGCGTGTAATTACACACGGCTAATTAATTCAAAGAGTAATTGAGGCGAAACGCGATCACTTAGACGCGACGGCGCGACGAATATCCTTTCAAATTGTTTTGTATTTTTCACTCGAAACCGAGACATTTTTACGTCTCAGATTTTTGTCTGTCTGATTATGAAATTCTCTACAAAAGTTTTTCGAGACATGACATGGCAGTATGCCAATCACGAAATTTGAAGCAAAACGAATTTTATACGCTCGATCGCTCAAGTAAATGTAAGACCGGCTATATTGAAGGGATATAATATAATTTATCGTGAATTCGTGAGTAACATACATTATAAAATTTTGTGGTAGGTTTCATTATAATTTTATTTTTACAGAAAGATCAGATTCTGAGAATTGTTTTGTGATTTGATCCTTACAATTCAAAATGTAATAACGATATGTATCGGAGAATATTTATAGAAATATCCAAATCCTTTTCAAAAAATTCCAGTTTCTGAAATGCATTAGATAATTTTGGTCAATCAATTCTATTATTATCTGGAGTATCTAAATGGAAAATGCAGAATTTTAAAAAATAAGTAACAAAGAACGTCCAATTGAATTTGTTTATAAAAAGAAGCTTTTTCGCGAACAAATTCAATTTTTACTGTAATTCTTTTTCTCATTCGTAGATACTCTCTCCATAAGAGAACAAACAGCATTTTTCCTTGCTTCGGCTCCATATTGGTGAAGTTCGAGCACACGTAATCTTGTACATGTTTAATAAGGATGCAGTATATTCTAACTTACGCCGATATACAACATACCTGCACTTTGAAATACTTTTTCCAAACCGCAATAGATTTTATATATCTTTGCATAGTGAATGATCGATTCAATAAAGCGGTTTATAACGAGCGATTTATGCACATGAATGTTTATGCACATAAATCTGTATGTGTGCATAAATATTTATGCGATGAATTATGTTTAGAGAAAAGAACTATGTACACGCACGCATAAGTATCTCTCTCACAAGATTTATATAACTATAAAAATTATAAAATTAATTGGATATTATAAAAATATGGAACAAAAACATAGGGAGAGAGAGAGAGAGAGAGGGGGAGAGGAAGGAAGAGAGAGAGAGAGAGAGAGAGAAATACTCTTTTTGTATCTCACATTCTCTCAAATTATGTACCGCGCATAATGTTGAAAGATTAAGCGTTTCTCGTTTATATAAAACGTAACATTAAAAAAAAAATCTGTTTATATGTGATATGTAAATCTGCCGTATGAAACATTGTCTGAAATAATATACGCATGTTTCACTGTTGAACATGCTCTTTCTCTTTTTTTCGTGGCATTTGTAACGTGTTGGTTGATATAGAATTTTAATCGTTCTCTCTCTCTCTCTCTCTCTCTCTCTCTCTCTTTCTCTCTCAATGCATACGCTCACATTGTTTTTAACCTTTTGTACCAAAGTATCGGTCGCGAGATATTTTAGTCCGACAATATAACGATTATAGACGCCGCTTCGCGCATGGTTTTTTAATTCATATCAACAGAGAATGTCCATTATTATAGATGCGTGCCTTTGTAAAAACTTATTTATAATTAAAATTATAAAAATGTCGCATCCATAATAAATATAATCTCGCGCACATAAGAAATATTATATAACAATACATAAATATTTTTTTTGTTATCGCGCGATTATAAAAATTTGGTCTTCGCACGGAAAACTTGACAAACTGAATCTGTCACTTGCGATATTACAAAGTTTATGTGACGGAAAATGCAGTCCCCTGTTTCGGTAATTTTCGCGGACGTGTCATCTCGCGCGAATGCGGCGAATGTGCATTCGCTATGGAATGTAACTTCTCTCACGTGAAAGAGATGGACATGGATAGCCGCCAAGCTAATCCGCCTGTCTAATTGCACGACCTGTTTACGCTCGGTCTAAACTTGGTATGCACGGTTGCAGTTTCTGACATTTATTGCAACATTTCTCCGAATACAATATGAAAAGACGCAGGAACATGTTCTTAGCTACGCGCAACATGAGCCAGTATTATGATCTTGACGTAACATGTGACATTCCATAGGTAAATCCCGTTTGCGGTCAAGCATTATGCGCGCATACTGAAAAATAAAATTTTGTGTAACGTAAATATACGGAAGATTTATGGATATATATTGTGCCCCGCCTGTACACGCGGACAATGTTCCTCGATCGGATCAATATTCTATTGAGTTATTTCTAAAACGCACAAGTTTTAGAAGATACATGAAGAAAACAAGAAATAAAATTGCTTAGAAAACTTCGTTTTCACGCGAGGGGAAAGAAATATTAAAAAAGGATCCCTCACATTGATCGCTGGAGTCAATCGAGTGAAAAAAATTGTGTTTAGTGTTGGAAAAGGCTAGACAGAATGAAATTTGGAAAAAGTAAGATCCAAGAAAATATATGCATAACGTCAAACCTCGTAGAAGTAAAAATATAATAACATTAATATGTTGCGCATAATATAATACACAAGATAAATAGTATATTTAATAAATATTCCGCGATTAAAATGATAATAATCCGGGAGAGAGTATGCATTCAACAAAAATTTAATTTTATATTAATGGTGATAATTAATAATAATAATTATATA